GGGGACCCCAGGGATGATGGGGACCCGAGGGGTGATGGGTACCTCAAGGGGTGATGGACGACACCCTAGGGATGATGGGTACCCAATGGGTGATGGGGACCTGAGGGGTGATGGGCACCTCAAGGAGTGATGGGCACCCAATGAGTGGTGGGCATCCCAGGGGTGACAGGGACCTCAAGGGGTGATGGACACCCCAGGTGTGATGGGTACCCGAGGGATGGTGGGGACCTGGAAGGTGATGGGGACCCCAAGGGTGATAGAGACCTCAAGGAGTGCTGGATACCCCAGGGTGATGGGTACCCAATGGCTGGTGGGGATCCCAGAGGTGACAGGGACCCTGAGGGATGATGGACACCCCAGGAGTGATGGGGACACAAGGAGTGGTGGAGACCTGAGAAGTGATGGGGACACCAGGGGTGATGTGTACCTCAAGGGGTGATGGGCACCCAAAGGGTCATGGGGACCCCAGAGGTGACAGGGACCCTGAGGGATGCAGGACACCCCAGGGGTGATGGGCACCCAATGGCTGGTGGAGACCCCAGGGATAATGAGGACCCCAAGGGACGATGGGGACCCCCAGGGGTGATGGTCGGACATGGGGACTATAGGGTGGCCTGGGGACAAGGGACAGGGACACCTGGACACCGGGATCCTGGAGGGTGCCATGTGCTGCAGGACAGCTTGTGGGGACCCCGGGCTGTAACACACCAAGACCCCCAGGCTTGGGGGCTGGTGTCTAGGGTGTCACCCAGCGCTGGCATGTGGCTCCGGGCAAGGGAGCTGGGCAGCATCACCCCATCCCCTGGTCACCCTGTCATGGGTTGTCCCATCACTCGTGGTGACCCCATACCCCAATGATCCCATCCCCAGTGACCCTCTCCCACTGATGACCCCATGCCCCCAGTGACCCCATCTCATGGTGACCCCATGTCCCTGGTGACCCCATGCCCCGTGGTGAGCCCGCCCCCTGGTGACCCCATCCCATGGTGACCCCATCTCATGCTGACCCCATCTCATGGAGACGCCATGCCCCTGGTGACCCCATGCCCCTGGTGACCCCATTCTATGGTGACCTCATCCCCTGCTGATGCCCGCTACCCCTCCAGAGGGTGACAGGAGTGATGTCCTCTCCTTGGATGTGGCCACTGATGTCCACGAGGGCCTCATCCAGCCCAGGAAGGTGCCAAACCCCATGCGGGAGTCCCGGGCCCACCGGGAGCTGCACCGGGAACTGCTCTTCAGCCACAGCAGGTGACCGAGGATGGGACCTGGGTCATGGGGATGGGACAGTCCCCGGCCAGGTGGCCAGGTGGGGGTGGCCACGTTGATATCCGTCTGTCCGTCACTGCAGGGGTATCCTGCCCCGGCACAGAGCAGAGCTGCAGACGGTGCTGG